GATGTTAATTATACGTCCTCGTATTTAAGGGTGGATTTTTAGCTTTGTTCAACACAGTGGACAACGCGAGCTATTTGTAACGTGACTGCAAACAAAATGTCGATACAAAATGTTATATAAAATATTATATCTAAAATCTCGCGCAAAATGTTGTACAAAACCTTTGTGTTACAGGACGAGAAGGTTCCAGAAGAGAAGGGTGAAAATGAGCTGCCGTTGCCCGGACGAAAGCGTAGGACTGCAATGGAAAATTGCAATTTATTTCGAGGCAACGCGACGTTAAATATCAAATTAATAATTCGTCGCAGGCTCCCTGCAATCCGCGTCGCATTCAACAATCGTAACCGCGATCATTTCGCAGGTATCTCGCAAATCGTTCGAACGTTTCAGAATTTTTCGCGGACGAGGGACGACGGATCGGGAGAACGTTCTTCGCTGGGTGATCGAAATCCCGCGCTTCCCTAAATTCCGGCAGCGGGAATCTCGGCGCAGCGGGGCTCGCCGTCGACGTCAATGGCGCCCTTAGAATAGCGAACAGCATCCGCCCGAATCCGGTTTCCGCGGATTAATTTATAATAATCCGCGGGCTCTATTCATAAAGATCGGGCAGTGTAACAGGAAGCTGAACCGAAAGCAATTATATCGCGGGAGGCACGAAACGCGCGCTAATTGTACGTGGACCCAAGACGGACGGAACAATTGGATTAGCGTCGCGCGACGTATGTAACAACGAAAAAGAGTAACGGAACCGTTTGTTTATTTTCAGCGGTGCGGCGCGTCGCGGCGGCATGCCGGGAAATACGGGGAGCGCAGCTTTTCGTTCCACTCTGTTATGCCCGGTGTTCATGAATTTTATGCGCCATTGTTCAGCTTTCGACGACGTAACGAAAATGTTTGAGGCGCAGCGAGCATCCCTCGTCAGTATGACGATCTCCATAAAGGGGACGTTTGCTCTGCGGCCGCGAATGTTTTCAGTACTTCTATAACCGGCGTGCACAAATGTAGAAAATGAACAACTGTTGCACCTGCTCTTTGTGCTTGTCCCCCCTCTCCCCCCTCTCTCTCTCGCTCTCTTTCTCTCTGTTTCTCTTTATCCGTGCACGCGCACTATCTCTCTCTCTCTCTCTCCCCCTCTTCTTTTTTCTCATACGTACCGTTGCTGCGAACCGAACACATCCCCTTTTTCTGCGCTTTGTCTTTCATCTCTGTGTACCGCGGGGGTGGTTGCGGCCAAGGACGGGCGTGTGACGTCGCGACGTCAGCGTTCCCCGACACGCGCGGCCGTTTGACACTGACATTATCGACGAAACAATTGTTTCCCATTCGATTCCTCGTCATTCGGATGCGAAAGAATTTGGAGAAAAGGGGCAGCTGAAAAGCCACCGCGGCGGTGTCGAAACGACACTCGACGTCCCTTTCAACAATTCCAGCCGGATCGTTTGATCACGCAGACACGCCGAAGGCTACGATTTCTATCGCACAGATGCCACTTCCCCCGACAAGATAGTACGCGCAGTCCTACCCTATTTCACCCTCCCCCCCGTCAGCAACCTCCCCGCGAAGTTCCCTCTGTGACGATAAACAATGCGTTAACCGTTCTTTGCGCACGCTATTTCGATACATTTCCGCGATATTTCCTGCTGCTCGCTGTTAGGCGTGTTTTTTGTAATCGAGTAAAAACTGCGAGATCTCGTGTAAATTTGTTGGTGGATCGTTTCGAGAGAATTAGGATCGAAGGTATAGCTTCACGTCGTACGAGTGGAATTTGTTTAGGATGCGCGAGAAGTCTTTGGAGCTTAGTTTTCATTGATTCTAGCATATTTCTGGGAAATAGTTTGATAGGATCGTATTTTTTAATGCAGCTGCATAGGTGTAATAAACTTGAACTCATATTGAACATCGATATGATTCAAAAATCCTTGTAGCTTATGTTTCATTGATTTTAACATGTCACTGTAATTTACTATGACATAATCGTAATTTTTAATCTAGCTGCATAAGTATGATAAATTTTGTAGTTTTAAAATTGTAGTTTTCGCAGTGAGAATATAAATAATGTTTTGTGCATCATTTGGGAAGAGGAGGTACGATTGTTCGAGCCTTGCGTCTCGTTTTTTATAGTTGTTGACAATCGGTAACTATGAAATCGTATCTCTTGATCGTATTTTCTAATCCAAAATTGTTCATTTTTGTGCGCAATCTCAGCGCGAATTAGGGAGGAATTACTGTACATCGAATAATCGTACCTACTCTTCCCAAATTGTCCATTTTTATGCGCAATCTCAGCGCGAATTAGGGAGAAATTACTGTACATCGAATAATCGTACCTACTCTTCCCAAATTGTCCATTTTTATGCGCAATCTCAGCGCGAATTAGGGAGAAATTACTGTACATCGAATAATCGTACCTACTCTTCCCAAATTGTCCATTTTTATGCGCAATCTCAGCGCGAATTAGGGAGAAATTACTGTACATCGAATAATCGTACCTACTCTTCCCAAATTGTCCATTTTTATGCGCAATCTCAGCGCGAATTAGGGAGAAATTACTGTACATCGAATAATCGTATCTCCTCTTCCAAAATTGTCCATTTTTGTGCAGAATCTCAGCGCGAATTAGGGAGAAATTACTGTATATCGAATAATCGTATCTCCTTTTCCTAAATTGTCCATTTTTGTGAGCAATCTCAGCGCGAATTAGGGAGGAATTACTGTACATCGAATAATCGTACCTCCTCTCCTCCTAAATTGTCCATTTCTGCTTACTGCTTCACCTTTGAAGGAAAATTCGGGCGAATTTACTGTACTAACGAATTGGTAGTGTACACACAGGCCACGGGCAATGAACGTACAACAACGTGTTTTGTGTTCTTTAGCATTAGAATGTTCGGCGAGGTTCCCTTCGGCCGGGTAACTCGGCGAAGGCAATTGCCAGCACGTAAGCAAACTAAATACGCAGGAAAAAAAATCTCGCTGTTCTTGCAGGTACTGAAAGATTCACAACTGTTGTATTCATCCTGTGCGCTCACTTTTGTACCTGTTTCGTGTCAGTGCGTTCGCGTTTCCTTCGTGCCGTGCTTCCTTTTCTCGAAAAACGTTACGTATTTTTGCAACTCCGGTTGCGCACCGTTGTTTTGCCCACCCCTTCTCCCTTTTCTCCACCCCCACCGTCCCCTGTCTCGTACTGTCAGCGCTTTTTCGGCCGTTTGTTTCCACGAGCTTTTTGCATTCCTATACATTTCTCGAATCGTTATTGCATTTGATAAAAACGTGCTCTCCGCGGTGGAATAGAGCGAGGGGATGCGCTCTATAAGCGTTTCGGAAAATATTTTTCATATAATATTACCGGGCCAGCCTTAATGGAGCAAATTCTGAAAACGTGGACGCGGTCGGGTTCACCGTTTCTCTGCGACTTCGGATTACGAGAGATCGCTTCTCCGAATATTCTGCCATTTTAGCTTTCCGAATAGTTTTTTTGTTTCCTTTTTTTTATCGAGCAGTTTCGACCTTTGTACTTTATTATTCGATTCGGCATTGTTTCTGTTGCGAATGATTTTTACCTTTTATCGCAATCGATGTCATCTGTTTTCTGTTAAACGATTATTTTTTTATAGCATTTAGAATATCAAAGTGATCTTGATTTATTGTTGTGAAATATAGCAAATTTATTCGCAGCTTCATATATTGAATGTATGAGATACATTATATTCTTATTACAATGGTTTGTCTAAACGGGAACAAACATTGAAAAATAGGTAATTTAAAAACTTATTACTTCCAATTTTTTATTCTGTCTGAACGATAAAAAAAAATAGAAGAAAAAGTTATACGTTTTAATATCCATGTTTTAAAATCTAGAAAAAAAAATTACATTTCAATGTACGGTTAGATCAGTTAGAATCAATTAATTTCCAATATATTAGATTGTTCGAAAAGATCGTTCCAAACCTTTTGTACGAATTCAGTGGAACGAACTCTCTGAAATGTGAACCGAACTTTCCGAAACGCAATAACTTTTTTAAAACTGGACTAAGCGTCTTGAATTTTTTGTAGATGATTGAGAGACCAGTATACTAAACAATAGCCAAAATGTCTAGCATACTAGTTCCTCCATCACCTAAAAAAAAAAAATAAGAAAATCAAGTCACTTAGCCCAGTTTAAAGAAGTTATTCCGTTTCAAAAGATGAACGACTGCTTTCGTATTTACCACTGTATTCACAAACGCGATACATTTCTTACAAACAATTTCCTGCTACAATTTACGAAGAAATCAACAGCACAAGAAGAAAAAGAAGAAGAAGAAGAAGAAGAAGGTGGCAGCAATCCTCGCCAGCATCAAAGAGACTGACCCGTCGGCGCGAGCTCCGCAAGCTTCGCTGTGAAGCACGCACCGTGTGTTCGCGGGTCCTGCCGCGGCTAACTTGTTGATCGCGGCGATCAATCTCGCGGGCAAAAACTCGGCCGCGGAATAAACGGACCAGCATTACGTTTGGAATCTTTTTCCGCGCGGTCCCCGGTACGGAACTCTAAAGTAGCAATCGTCGGCGTGGCGGGCCGCGAAGTTGAGCGTAAAAAGGAAGTTTCCCCCGACAGCAGCGTCCTGCCCGGCTGTGTATACTTACCATGCCAGGAGATTCACAACTGTTGCGTCCGTCTTTGTTCATTTTTCCAGGCTTGTTTCCCGCGTCCTTCCTCCCTCTGTCGTATCCTGGAGGCCGCGGCGCGGCGAAGCCATCATAAAGGGAGGCACGCGTCGAGAAGGAGCCCGGGCGCAAACGGCGCGTCGCGTCGCGGCGTCTCGAAGGAGCGAGCTGGAGAGGAGAGAAGAGGCCGAAGAGAGCGAGAGAGAGAGAGCGAGAGAAAAAGAGAGAACGAGAGAGAGAGAGAGAGATGGCGGAAGCCAGAGGTGGACGGCGTGCGTCGCGAGGGGCCGGGGAGCGCGCGTCGAAGAATCGGAAGAAAAGGCGAGGGGCGGAAAGCCAGGCAAACGAAACGAGACGAAACGGCACGGACGTCGGACGACGACGAGCGTGAGCGCCCCCGACGAGCGGCGTCGGGACGTTCAGCGTCGCAGCGCGCCGCGCCGCGCCGTGAAAACCGAGGGACGACGCGACGCGACGCCGTTCGAGCCAGTCTGCGTCCGCCAGTCGTCGCGACGTCCTCGCATCGCAGTGGCCTGCGCCGATTTCTCTCGCCGACTCTCGTGACACCCCCTTGAGAAGCTTCCTGCCGCAAAAAAAAGGATACGCTGCCCCCGAACCGAGCGATAAATCAAACGACCGATCACCACGAAAGCACGCGGTGTCTCGATCACGATCGATCTCGCGATCCGCCCGGTCGATAGGCCCGGCGACGACTCACGAACTTTTTCACCCCTGCCTTTGCCCGCCGCGCAAAGCGGCGCCGAGTGTCCTTCGCGAGGCTCCAGGATTTTCGGGACCGGCTCGCCGCAGACGGATCGGCCACGAGGACACCGTCGCGCCGCGGTTACTCCGACAAGCTTAGTGCACTCTTGGCTGGCAAGCAGGACATCCGCTGGCAGGACATCCTCCGCGCACCGGGCTGCTGCATCGTCGCGACCATCTCGGTGACCTCTCCGGGACCCTCCGACGGGTCGTCGCTTTGTGCCGCTCTCCGACCCTCGAGGTTCTCTCGCACCTGTGCGTGCCGTCCGGTGACCAGGGGACCAGGCCCGGGAAACGGAGCCACGGGAAACCGGTGAAAGCGCAGAGCAAAAGCGAGCAAAAGCTCCGAGCGTGTTCGCGCGCGGAACCCTTCCGCCGGCTGTTCCTTCAAGCCGCTGGTCGTTTTTTTTTCGGCCCGAACGAACCCCGAACGAGTTTCTGTGCGCGCCGCTGGATGGATCGCAGCCTTTGATATCCGCCTCGATATTTGTCAGCCCGCCTCTCTGTCTCTGTCTTTCTCTGCTATTGTTCGGTGAGTAATCTGCAAAGTAGACGTTTCCAGCGCGCGGCCCTCGCGTGACCGACCGCGCGGCCCGCCGCTCTCCTTGCGGGAAATTACCGTTTAACTGGGTCTGGTCGGGTTCCTTTTTTCCCCCGTTCTTTTTTTTTTCGTCGAGGGTGCTCGCACCACCGGTTCTCCGTTCGGTTGCAACGCGACGGACGTTGATTCTTCCCGGTCGAACAAGTGTCCCTGTTTCGCGCGATGACGTTCGGACTCCCGAGGATTAATCGCCGCGGCTGCGACAGCAACCCTCGGAGTATCCGAAAGTTTGCGGTCATTGACAGGCCTGGGGATGCCGGCATTTCCACGCCAATTCCCCCCGTCATGTCTATGATATTATAGTTACAGTTTGGATGTCGTAAACTCAGCGGAAACCGCTGTCACGGATTTCAAGCCCCGGCTACGAGCAATTGTTACGGTCAGCTGGATTATTTATCAGCTCGTGTGATTCAACCCCTCGCCGCGTTATAACGAGACAGAGACTTCTGACAAAGATCTGCGCTAATAATTGCGAGTGTTCGGTCGTTCGCGTCCGCGAGGAGGAACGTTTGCTTCTGTCGGATTCGAAATTTCGAAAGGAGAAACGAAAATTCGTCGCGTTTTCGTTGGGGAAAAATTGTTAAATCTTTGTGGTCGGAGATATTTTCACTCGAAATCCGTAACAGTTTTCTTCTGACCTATGGTGTTTCTATTTTATAGGGTGCATTTTATGCAGATGGAATGGAATTTCGTGTCCCACGCGACGGTTACGTTTTTAACAGTGTTTTTAGTGTAAACGAATTCGATGATGTTCAACGTTATCTTGAAACGTGACAGGAGAATTTTTAGCGGTGCCTCGGAGTCGTCATTCGACTGCGAAGGGTGCAAATTATGGAGCAATAATAATATAAATAATTGGTGCGCATTGTTCCATATACGCGAGAAGATCGAATTTCGTTTCGATCGTGTGAAGTTTTTATTGTCTTGCTGCGATGATGTTAATATTTGTTCAAGTATTTCGAATGGAATTCTGAAGTTTGCAGAATTGTAAAATAACGAGCGTTAAATCGTTTAGTGTTAAGAACGAGAAACGTATAACGAACGTAGCTGTGAAAGAAATGATGGTGCAGGGGGTTGGCACCCCTATCGTGCCAGACAAAAATGACTTCTATTGCTGCTATTTTAGAATCGTCGAAATTATGAAGATTCTTTCAAAGGATAAGATCGAACAATTTGTCTAAATCACGTATACATTGCAATGAAAATAACAAAGAGAGACTTGACAACAAATTCAGACTTGACATTCTCATAAATCAACACGGCGTTAGGTTAATTTAGTATTCGATAGGTTCGGTGTTAATGAGCCGGTCCCGTAAATGAGTACAGTAAATTCTCCCCAATTTTCGCGCTCGGATCGTGCACAAAAATGAAAGGAATTCCAAAAAATGGAATTTGGAAAGCGAGGATATGTTTATTCGAGCCCTGCGGCTCGTTTTTATAGTAATCGATTGTGAACAAGTATAAAAACGAGTCGCAAGGCTCGAATAATCGTGTCTCCCCTTCCCAAATTGTCCATTTTTGTGGGCAATCCGAGCGCGAATTAGGGAGAATTGTACTGCAATTCCGAAATAATGTGCAGTATGCACACCTGTCTCTTATACACATCTAACGAGTCGCAAGGCTCGAATAATCGTGTCTCCCCTTCCCAAATTGCCCATTTTTGTGGGCAATCCGAGCGCGAATTAGGGAGAATTGTACTGCAATTCCGAAATAATGTGCAGTATGCACACCTGTCTCTTATACACATCTAACGAGTCGCAAGGCTCGAATAATCGTGTCTCCCCTTCCCAAATTGTCCATTTTTGTGGGCAATCCGAGCGCGAATTAGGGAGAATTGTACTGTAATTCCGAAATAATGTGCAGTATGCACACGATGCACTCTGCATATTTCCGTGCGCGAATTTTGCTATCGTTCAGTCAAGGTTATGCGTGCCTAGTTAAAAGAATTAAACGGTTCGATTCTGTATGCGTGCCTATGTGTGTGTGTGTGCCTGGTAAGCGGAATTTGTTGCAAACCGAAGATCAATGTTCATCTGTCCGTTATTAATACGTCGATAGATGCACTCGCGTCGATCCCCAATTTTCTTTTCCCGTTCGCGTTGTCGGACGCAGCTGTTTGAATTAGGAACGAAACGCAATTAGTCGATTCATTAGCGGGGGCCGCAGAACGTATCAGTTTTATCTCGCGAAGTTTGTTATAAATAAACTTCTCGTAACTGCGAGTCGCGTCGCGTGCGACGCGCGGGGGACACCGAATGCACGCGGAAGTATGAAGCATAATTCGGGAATTGAAATCGCAGAAGTTACCGTAAATTCGCGAACGAATTTTTAGACTGCTGTTGACGGATGAGCGGCTCGAAACAGTTGACATTTATTCGTCCCGTTGAAAATCAGAAATTCTGACGAGGCGGCGGATTCATTTGCTCGGATCCGAAAATTAGCTTCTACTTCGTTCTTATTTTATTAACCCGCTCGGGTCGACGGCACATATTTTGGGCCGTTCGATTTTCCTTGGTTACGATCGCTTTGCCGATAAAACAATCGTTAAATCGATCCGGAGCAACGCTTTCTATACTTTTATAATTTTTTGATGTTAACGCTAGATTCATTTTCCTTGGTTACGATCGCTTTTTTCTGCCTCGCCGATAAAACAATCGTTAAATCAATCTGGAGCAACACTTACTATACTTTTATAATTCTTTCATATTTAATGCTAGATTCTCGCAGCACTGAAATCAGCACTGAAATCTCAGAGCATTTTATTGAATTAAGAATAAAACATTTATCCTGATTTTAAACGAGTGTTATTGTAATAGTTGCCGCGAGTGACACACGTATAGAATATATATATAATTAATATATCCGTAAATATATTTTTACAATCTGGATAATCGTAAATCAAAAAATTGATGAAAGCTAGTGGGTAAAGAGCAAAGGAATCATTAAAAAAGCCACCGATGTCATAGAGCTTCGCTGCGCGATCTTGATTGAATCGAATAAAATATTTTAATTCGATGAAATTTTCGAGGTTGCGATAGAGTCGAAACAGTGAACGGGGAATTCGCGCGAAGGTCCGCGATACAGCAGCAGCAGCAGCAGCTCGACCGCGTTCGAAAGGGGAAAGTGATCGATAAAGTTGGTGCTCGGAGCGATTAATTGGTGACTGATCGTCATTGTTTCTTTCCCGTACTTTTGACACTTGTTTCGCCGATCAATTATTATCGGGCCCGCCTAATGGGGGACATTAAAAATCGAGACATTTATAATTGTCCTCGAGCCGGATCGCTCGTCCCGATGCTCTTCGATTCCATTTATCATTCGGCCGCGCAACAATCGAGCCACGCTCGTCCGGGATATCGCTCCCGGACGATGCACAATTAAAATAATAGACTCTCGGCGGTCTCGTGGAAATCTTAAGAATTGCATTACCGGTTCGGTAAAAGTCTCGCGGATAGCGCCCGCGTGTCTCTCTGTATTTCCGCGCTCGTTTCTCTGTCTGTGTACGTGTGTTTATTGTGTGCGTGCGTCGATGCTCGGTAAAGGTGTTCTCTCGCGAGCGCACGGAGCGAAGAGATTCACGGAGACGACGACCATTGCCGGATTAATTTTCGCACGGAGCCGCGCGACGACCGCCGCCGGTGGTTCCGAAACAAATGTAATTAAATTCTTTCGACGCTAATGATCGCATGCATTTGTGTTGTGCCGCCGTGCAAATGATATTTAAATTAGTACGCAGCCTGTATATTAATCGCGCCGAACAGAACACATTTTCGTGACGATTGTGCGACTTCCGTGAGGTTGTTAACTGATCCAGCAACGGTAATAAATTCCTTCCCGTGTAATTTACATTCAGCCCCATCCCCCCCCCCCTCCGACCCTACCCTCTACCCGTACTACCTTCGCAGCCAGAAACACTTGAATATGCACCGTGTCTGGTAAATCGTGTTGCAATCGCAGATAAGTTTATCACCGGCGGGGAAATCGGCGAAAGAAGCGAGGAATAAATTTTTGTTTGATCGATCGCGCCGCGGCGCTTCCCGAGACAAATTACTTCGAACGTGACGCGACTTTCTTCCTTTTTTTTCCAGCCCGCGGTAAACGCTCGCTCTGCGCTGCGATCAGAGTTCGGCGTTGATCGAATTGTTCCGAATTGTATGATTATCTGTGATAATTGTTCGAACGATGATTATCGAATGATCTGTTAGATTCATTCATTGCTCGCCGTACATTATTTTTCATTCATTTATTCGAGTGATTTTTTATTCGAGTGATTTTTTACTCGAGTGATTTCTTATTCGAATGATCTTTTACTCGAGTGATTTCTTACTCGAGTGATTTTTTACTCGAGTGATTTTTTACTCGAGAGATTTCTTACTCGAGTGATTTCTTACTCGAGTGATTTTTTACTCGAGTGATTTTTTACTCGAGAGATTTCTTACTCGAGTGATTTCTTACTCGAGTGATTTTTTACTCGAGTGATTTCTTACTCGAGTGATTTCTTACTCGAGTGATTTTTTACTCGAGTGATTTTTTACTCGAATGATTTTCTACTCGAGTGATTTCTTATTCGAATGATTTTCTACTCGAGTGATTTCTTATTCGAATGATGTTTTACTCGAACGACTCTTTGCTCGAATAATTCTTTATCCGACAAAGAAATCATTTTTATCGAGATCAATTACTTTCGGTACGAATTCCTGTCACAAATAAATTCTTCCTCGAATAAATTCTTGTCTAGACGAATTTTCATTCGATCAAACATTTATTTGACAGTGTCGAACGAAATTTGATCCATCAGTCTCTATCTTCTGTAGCTCAAGAAACAACAAAAATCCTATTTAAAGTATTTACCAGCTTCGAACGCGACATTTTTTAAGAACAGCCGTCAGAATGCAAACGCACGGAGTTCGCGGACGTCGAAACGAAGGACG